GCCGAACTCTCCGAGGAACAGTTTGGCTGGTCACCTGCAACACAGCCTGTGGAGACAGTGCATACGGGTGAGTGGAATATGAGCCTTTATTTGCCATCGGAAGAGGAAGCAAAGTACGAAATATTCGTACTTAAACTCGAGAAGGCGCCGGGACCAGTTTGCGTCCACTTCTCTTCAACGAAGCCGAAGAACCCCTAGTAACAGAGATCGTACGTGCGATATGGAGTCAGGAGAAAGTGACTTCAGAAAAGAACATGTTGGCAGTTATTCCTGCCATCAAAAAGAGTACGCTGGCGCTGTGTGAAAACCACCGTCACATCAACCTGGTACCTGTGGAATTGAAGGTGCTCTCTGGTGTTCTCCGTCGAAGGTTTTGCTGAACAAAGGGTGAGACAGATCCGTGAAGGCCTAGCTGGATTCCGTCTTGTAGTGGGATGTAACGATCACAATTCATCCTCCGTCAAATTCTGGAGCAGTGACACCGCTTCTAGCAACCAACAATGGTTGGCTTCTTGACTTGAAAGCTGTGAAACATTAGGCACTGCAAGATGGCAGTGCCTATGGAAGACAGATGCCCGGTAAGTCCCTAGCCGTCCTGTATGCCAGATCCCGCAGACGTGTGAAAGTCTCCGATAAGGTCTAACTTTAGTTCACTTGATGTTGTGTCTTCCTTGAACGGTGGTGCAACTCTGTATCGGTCCCTTGGCTTCCTGCTCCACCCACTATGGTATATCAAAAGGCACGGAAGCTGTACACAACCCTTTATGGACACCAAGGGAAATTACTACAACTGTATCTATAGGGCAATCACAGGTTGTTCCACAAGGTCATGCTAGAATCTCCGTGAGTTGGCCAGAAGCGTCGAGTCAAAGATCCTCGATCCGGATTGGCTGACATTCTGATCAATCAGGGCACGCCTTCGTTTGGTCCGTGTGCTGAACGTGACTCATCCTTCCAAATGGTGATGTTCGGTTATTAGGGACGGCTGGCCTCCGTACACTTCATCAAGCGATATCGTAGAAGGCTCTTCTTTTTTGCCCTCCCTCTTTAACTTCGCGCATGATGTGATAATGCGAAGCGCAATCCCAGCCTCCAATGGCTGTGGGATCAGAATGCATTCAGGGCATTCACGGATGGATACACAGGATCGAGGCTTTTGCCCAGTTTCCCAGGTCGGTTTTGTTCTTGTCGGTCGGTGGCTGTCGTTCACCTGAAAGGCATAAGTGAAAAAAGGGTGTAGCACTGCTCTTTATGTTCTCAGCGCGGGGCAGTATGCTTGCCAGCGCGAGGATTCGTATAAATAAATGTCTAATAGTGCTTTAAACTGGGTTCTAGAAGGAGCGTGGACAACCGTCGGAGAAAGGTCATTCCATGCAGCTACTGCCCGCAATGAGGAAAAATTTTGTCTCATGAATGTGCGCGCTGTGAGCTTAAAAATCTATGTCCCCGCCGTGTGTTTGCTGGGTCAACGGTAAAAAACCTGTTTGCCAAGCTTTGTTCAAACAGGGCATAAGTGAGAAGTGGATCCCCTCGGAGGCGACGGTACTCCAGGGGAAAGAGATCAAGCATCGCGAGACGCGTTTCGTAGTCCACGGATTTGAGGCCGGCAACCATTTTCGTAGCGGCTCACTAGACACGCTCAATGAGGGTGACGTCTTTGGTGCATCCTGAGTAGCAACTTGGTTGGCGTACTCCAGGAGCGGTCTGACGTAGACCCCATAGAGTATTTGGAAGTCTATGCGAGTAATACGGGAGAAGGTGCGTCGGATCATCCGTAAAATGGCGAATGCCTTTTGGGCGGATTTCTCATGGTGTCGTGAGAAGGACAAGTTTGAGGAGACCCACATACCCAAATCCTTTTTGGCATCTATTCTCATGATGTTTTATGGTCCTTTCTCGCCATGCATAACAAAGGCATTCGCTGAGTCTCCTCCAAATGACATATGGACGCACTTTTCGTCATTCAGAGGAAGGTGCCAGTCCAACGACCACTGCTTTGCTGCGTCTACACCCATTTGGAGGGCACTGGCACTCATTCACAAATACCCAGTGCGCAGACAACATAGCTTTCCTTGGACACGACGCCATCTCAATTTAGACGATGTCGAATAATCTGAGCAATTCTGCCTCACGGTTCAACATGCACTTCGCACCTGCAAATTTTCGCTGCAAGACGTGGTGGGTCTTAACCCCAGGGTCGAGTTTATAATCTCGAGGTGCGCTCTGTATTATCATGCAGGTCAGAAACATGGCCACTGTGTCGAATACGTCAAAAGACTTCTACTGTTTGACCCTCAATGTATCCGAAGCACCGCCTGGGTCTGATGTGAAAACTGGATCAGAGATACTGAAGTACGTCGAACGGTTTTCTGAAGAAACGAGTCACCCACGACAGATGAACTGATCACGCCCCACTGTGCTGGCTTGGTTGCCAGCTTCCTCGAAGGCTCTTTTCGCACAACCACGTGATTGATGAAAACGAGCCAGTGGAGTTCGAACAATGACTTGCAGCGAAGTTTGTGAGCAACTACCGGCAAAACTCAGTTATCTTGGTCATTGCCGTATCCCTGGATAGAAACCCCGAGATGGGACTCATCAATGATTAGGAACATCGTAAGACACCTCGCAGCCGAGCCCCCAGTGGCGTTCGTGCATGCAAGCTATTGCCTTCAGTTCATAGTTCCCCTCCTAACCTGCCCAACTATATCAGCTACCGTCTCCAATGAGTAGGCATCTCCCCCCTCCCCGAATAATCGGTGAACGAAACTTCCACAGCTCCACTGCACTACAAGAACGTGGTTTTTACGGCTGCTTATGGTGATATGTATATTCACATGTGGGCGCATAAGAGTATATGGGGAGCCCTTCACAAGTTTTCTTACAAACAGTGGCGTCTAACAAGAGTGTTTACTCTCCCTTTTTTGAAAATTTCAACATTAATGTGGTAATGAGGCGAAAACTAGAAGCTCCGTGAAACCCCAGTTCTTGAATCTTTCCAAATAAATATCCAGACCACATTGTTGTCATTTCCAGAATAGAATAGTAGGCGCAAGTACTACTAGATTAATTGAACAAGGTTATTCAGCCCTTCGACATGTACTTCGCACCCACAGAGTGCGACTTTTTTTGCGAAACGTACAATCCTTGGAGATGCCTCTAAGAATCCAAGAATTGACACTGGATCGCTGTACGCATGTTGGAATTTGCATCAGCTCACGGCAGTGTGACAGACGAGGTGGGAGCACGAATCGCAAAGACCGGAATTGTTTGTCAACTGGCGCCATTTTTGGTATCAATGGGCATTTCGCTGGCTCCCAGAGGATGCATATAACACTACAGTTCGCTCTTTATTGTAGTGCGGCTGCGAGGCTTGGCCATCTCGGGCGAGACGGCTCAGTGGTTAGAGCGCGGATTTACTGACCAGAAGGTCCTTGGCTCGAACCCGGCCTGCGCCTTTCGACTCCCCCTGCCTAGGCTTGGGCGACGTGGCAGTATCTCATCCCCCGTTCTTTTTCCGACTGACGCGGCAACTAGGCATCGAAAGGGTGTTACGGCTGAACGGCTGTTATAGAGCGCGGTTTACTGACCAGAAGGTCCTTGGCTCGAACCCGGCCTGCGCCTTTCGACTCCCCCTGCCTAGGCTTGGGCGACGTGGCAGTATCTCATCCCCCGTTCTTTTTCCGACTGACGCGGCAACTAGGCATCGAAAGGGTGTTACGGCTGAACGGCTGTTATTTATTATTAAAACCAGTCGAGTTTTTACGGGAGTGACTTTTCCCATGGGATCATTGTTAATGTATTCACGTGTGCAACGTCCTTGATTCTAGCTTGCCGCCCGTGTGAGTTAGGATGTACAAAATAAGGATCGGACCAGATCTTCAGCCACCGGTATTCCTTTCGATGAAGTGCTTAATGAATCCGACAAGCTTTTATCGAATACATTACAGGAAAACTGCATTTCTTCGTAAACAATATTCAGCGTCCGTTTCGAAGTTCCGTATACTGTAAACAGTCATCATCATTGACAGCACAACATCGGTGTTCATCACTGATGCTTTGCAACCGTAAGGTTTGCAGAGAGTAAACTCAGTCTTATGGTTCATTAGATTCTGCCTGTATTGGGATCATAATTTGTTAGCTAGATTCTTGTCACCCTTATCATTTGTTTTTAGCTCATTAATCGCGCGTTACCCGTTGGGAATCTTAAGAGTCCAAGATTTTTTCTATCAGCCACCAAATTTCACCGATAAAGCCTTTTACGGCGCATCATGGCTCTACGGTCATTGTCCTTACTTACCCGCCCGGGGCGATGGATTTCCGTTGCAGTGCCTTCAACAACCCAGAAAAGCTTCTTCAAACGTTGGGCATCGACAAAGCACGATCGTGGTGACAGTTGGCTGGCTTCAATGCTCAGCCGAAGTGATTCAAAGGAATCTCAGTCCGGTCTGTTGTCGAACACTGTGACGATTTTCGAGTTACAAACTCATGTCGTGAAACCACAGTTCATGTGTGAATACCTCAAGGAAATGTGAGTTGTGTATTTCCACGATAATGTTTATGAAAGGGAGCATTTTGTGAATGTTCTTTCTAAGACTGATAGCAACTCGGAGCTTCTGGGAAGCTGGACTTGCGAGATCGGATTTCAGGATACAGCATGTAGGTTCTGCTTACGTCTTCATGACCGTTGCACAGATCACTTATGGAAGTATTCTGCCGGTTACCCAGGCCTTAGCCAACATACAGAGATATATAGATCGCATAAGGTAACCGCCTTCCACCATTGGTAACCTTTTCAGGAATTGACCGAAAGCCGACACCGAAGGAACGTAATGTTGCACACGAGAAAGAACGAAATTTGCTTAACCTTCAGCTTCTGGCCAGACCCTACCCCAAGGCCTGATGAAAACAATATTTATGAATTGCGTTCGTACGCTCTGAAGGTGAGTGTTATAACTATGCTAAACTTAAAGTTGTGTCCCAATGTTGCCAACGTGCTACTTCAAGCTGCTCTCTCATACCAGACTTTTCGTGAACTAATCGTTAACCCCTACTAGAGGATGAAGGTATGGGGCTCCAATATGAATCTGATGCAATGCAACTCATAATTATGTGGTTTTATACTCCTGCTCTTCGTTTTATTTAATTTTTTAGTATTTCTACTTGAAATCCGGGCACGAACTAGATCTTATCCTTATCTTATGTAGTACACCACTGGTAATCGACGAATACACCATCTAGGGAAGATATCGTTTGTTTCGCATGTTGAACTCAGTCATGGCTAGTCAGGTGGTTGTTCATCAGTTGTGTTGACCTTGGAGATTGTCCACCTGTCCCCAGACATCTTATCATCGGTATTTTTGTACCGTATGATGGCTAGCTGACCTCATCGTACTACGCACGCTTAACCACCGTCTGTCAAGGGTGATGTTTTCCTTTTCATACCTTCGCTGGCGAAAATTTTATCGGAGAATAAGCGACGACCTGATAACATGAAGTAAAAATGGAAATAGATGAATTCTGTGGGATTTCTGTTCCGTATCCACATGGTTCACTGTTATTCCTTTTAACGCACGGGTTACTGTTACACTTACTGTGTAGTGCCAATAGGATTTCGGGGTATGCATTCGCACCTGCTTGACATTGTCAACGAACCATATTTGAGCTGGCCCGGTGTCTCAAACCTACGTCGTTCAGAGTTGAAATGCTGCTTGAGTTTTTGCCACGTTTTCTTATACATTCCGGGTTCACGGTTTCCTTCACTTATGAAAGAACCATATAGGAACACTAGAGAAAACCACGATGATTAGGGGTGGCCTTTTCAGAGAGAAGAAACTTTGTTAAAGTCTGTCAAGGAACGCTAGTTGTGAACTATCCTGAAGAATGTTTCTCTTCTTGATTCCCCTGTTAAAAGATAACTGTATTTACCGCCCTATAATATTCACCTATCGGTTCAGCTAATCTTAACCGACACGATGGAATTTAAGTGTTGTGTTCAACGACCGATTTGATGTAGGCCTATTTGTAACCATTGATTGTGGTCAAGCTGGTGATCCTGTTTACATGTTTCAGTTCCGTTCCTCAGCTCACAAACCGTGCGTCAAAATGCATTGGTTCCAGGTGCCGTGGTTTCTTTCGTCGAGAAGGGGAGAATATGGGAATGAAAGCTACGCGTTCGAAGCGAGGATCTCATCTGCGCACCGTTTACAAATCAATCTGTTTGCCCAGTATGCCATGAGGTGACAGCTACTCAGTGAAGGTAATAGCTTTGGTGCAAGATTGCTATTGGCTGCATGACACAGCCATATCTGCCAGGACCACAAACCACTGGTTTGTCTCATCCCGTGGTCCTATCCGGGAGGACATCACAACCATTTGTTTCTGGTATGGTTTTTCTGGTCTCAGTCCGAGAGGCTGACCTTGATGGGATACAGTGTTCTTTGGGGTGTGAAGTGGACCTCTGGCACACAGTTTGAGAAGATGTGAGCATGGCCCCTTTCACGTTTCTTCAGTCGTCATCCAAATTACCGATGATCTTGTCGAGTTCTGGGAGCTTCTAAACCAACTCAACTCGATATTGTTGAGCCAAAGAGATGCTCTACAGGTGGTAAACTGAATGCCTTTGTATCAACAGACTTGTTCCAGAGAGAAAGCAAGTATATAGACGTGCATTCACCACGCCGTGATCGGAGTCAAGTGGTGTACTCCAAAGAGAACGATATTCTTGTGTCGAAACTCCCTACCGGTAATTAATTGCCACACGGTCCAACTGAGTCCACGGCTGGTTTCCAGTTGGTTGCCTCCAAGGCACGCCGTATGGGCGTTTTTTCTGAAAGTTTGTGCTACCCAGAATCAAATGATCTTAAGCGCAATCGAATAAGCCGTTCCTCACTGTCTTCGCCATAAGCATCAGCCGCGAAGATGGATTTCATCAGGACATTGTCAGCCAACCTGAGCATTCGTATAGCCTGTTGGAATATTGATATCTGTAAGTTTTCGATCGGGTACCCGTATAGCCTGTGACTTTTTAGTCCGAACCACGAGCCAACATTTTTTGTTGAGGAACCCTTTCCGGAGCCAACGACTCAACACTCTGACCCACTTAGCTTTAGGGCGCTGGCCTGACCCATAGAGTAAGACATAGCTATCTGACTCCTAATGTCACTTCACGCAGCATTCTGAACGGCACCAAACTCTTCAGTTATAAAAGTATTTCGACTGTATTGAATAATGTACGGGTGCTCACGGCCAACCATCGGGTGATCGGAGTGTGCGTATTTATGGCCGACCTTTTCTAGCATGTCCTCCAGGGACAGCGGCATCGCTTGTTTCATAAACATGGACAGCTGGTCGTCTGGGGGAAACGCCTTACTACCTTCACACTCCTATTGCGGAGGACAGTACGACTTTAGGGGCTGAGTTCCAGCCAGAATTGCCCACAGGATAATTGCAGCACAAAAGCCCAACTACCACGATAAGATGACAGCTTTATGAAATGTCTGTTCTGATTAGGTGACTTGGAAAAAGTTCAGACGATTTTCTTTCTGGAAATTTAAATACCGTCTTTTGAATTACTCGATTTCGTGTTGTATGACTTGCGTATTTTTCGTTTATCAACTTTCAGCCCGGTACAATGATCGAATGGGGAAACCACTGGTAGGTGCTATTCGATTTTGTTTCAAGCACAGTCAGAATCTTCCATTCTTCATTACCATTTCCTTACCCACGAGACCGTTTTTGTCCATAGGGTTTCGTTTCAGGCTGTCACGGTTGCAGTACGGTATCATTCACATTAATCCAAATAAGAAATTAACTCATCTCATCCACTGAATCGCCCCGTCTTGAAGGCATTGACTCATGGAAGCCTCGCACGATATATGTACCGAGCTAATGGAATTTCAGCTTCTTCTTGCATTGGATACAATCTTTATGGGTATGGAATACTTGTCCATGTTCAGGACTGAGAAATGCTAGATCTACGCGATAGATATGCCTAATGGTCTTCTAGACCATTTAAACCAAAGAGCATGATAGTTTATTACGAGATTATCTGCAACGTATTAACGGATGCAATCATAGTCATTGAGAACTTTATAAATACATAGCCATATTTGTTTGTCTTACTGTATATCCCAGCTGTATGGCAACTCTGGTATTTTCAGACCAATGGTGCTGCCTGCATAACCTTAGATAAACTTTCGGTAAATCCAAGGCAAGTCCATTTAAGAAGAGCCGGTTAGCTCGCTCGGATATTTTGTCCATAGAGCTTCCAGTATCAACCGTTTAAGGTGATAGTCCCTTGGTAAGTGTAGATCAATGGATAGGTGTTTGTACAGTGATATTACCTCTCTGGAGGATGAATAGATAGGTTGAAGAATTGGGAGTCGTCTTTTGCTTTTGATGGAGGTGATTTCTCTTTGGGTGTTTTGTTTGTGTTGGGGCTGTACTATACCGTCAACTTCCACAAGGAATTCGTCGGCTTCATTCAAGTCCATGGAGTAGAATGAATGGGGATGGTCAAGCTTACCTTTAAGAGTAATAGAGATAAATGTACGAAATAGCCCGATGCTAGGAGGTTGCTCCTCACGAACCACCTGTAATATACTGAACACTCACTTCGCACGACAGTCAACTACTAAGGAATCAATATGAACTCACCTGAAACGAGATCCGCAAACAAATCTGATACGTCCCTGAGCTTCAATACCGAACTTCTACAGGAAATTGTGAATAAACAAAGGTTCATAAACTCAAAAGTCCTCAATAGGTTGTCAGACCATGAGATGCTATGGAGATGTTACGGAAGGAAGGTTGATAGCTTATTAATGAATTTGAACTCCACTTCCGGGCCAGAACTTGCTGACTGTCCTGGTACTTTGTTTATCCTTAAAGCACATCTTGAACCAGATCATATGACCGTGTCGCACGGGACTACGTTTTTATCTTTCGTCATAGTTGCATGTTGACTGGGATAGTGCCATTGCGCCCGAACCTAGACAGGAGACGATTAGGATCCGCAACCAAACCCTTCGGCTCAAAAGCTAGACCGCAAGGTAGCGGTCACCACACACCAACCTAGAGGACCAGGAGACTTTTGGCCGGAACTTTAACCGATAACCAACCTGATATGGGAGACTCCGAATATCACACGAACACCTTCAGTACAGCACGGAAGTAGATGAGCCGTCACACCACGGCGAAGTCCAATCTCTTCGTAACTGCAGCGAGGCATCGATGTTGACCACCGATGTTATGCTGTCTATCGTGATGGCGATGGATCAATTTTTCTGATAGAACATTAAGGCCATTCCTTGTACGATCCTTTTCTAGGGTTTCCACGTGTCGAGTGTGGAATGCAATGATAAGTAAGACAGACGGTCAGTCTGGAGTCCGCGCACTAACAGACTACTTAATCAGGTCCCATAAGCTGGTGTCGACCAAGTGAGCAATGTTCCATGTGGTATAATAAGTCATAGTGAATGTTGATGCATGCCCATCTATGATCCGGTAAGCTGCGCAGCAGAGGCTAATTTCAAACTTCAAAATTATTTTCGGGAGGTACCTATTTATCTGATTTATTCGCTACAGATAGCGGTGGATCATGCCAAGTCCTCCTGTTCAGCTTCCGCTCGTTTTTTGGTGCTTTTCATACACCTCAGAGGAACAAAAGAGATGATGTGTTATCAGGTCTTTCAACTTTTGGCAGAAACAAACTTATAAGGAGTAGTTATTCTGTTACAATCCCAGTTGCTTTGATCACGCATCGAACGAATCTTACACCAAATATTCGCTTGGACATTTGTTAAGTCTAAATCTACCGAACGAGTTTATGTGTACTTTGGTTCCGATTCAGAGTCGTACGAGTCCTCGTCTGTTCTACATCAGACCAATAACGATGGTTTTCAAATACGCCTTCAAACATGACATTACTGGTCAGTGGTGCAATCCTTGGTTTTACTTTTTCCGTTTTGCAGAATGCCTACTAGGTATCCGGGGTTTGTTTAAGTCTTTATTTGCCAGAGGCTACAATTCTCTGTGAGTCTATGACCTAAATAACTGTTTGTCAGGTATGTCATCCCATCGGTACTTAGTACTGGAGCTTAACGGGCACAACTGAAGCGGAGCTCCTTAGTTAAAATAGAAGACAAAGGGTAGGGATATGAACTTGTCACAGAATAAATGATTTGCCTAGTGAAAATGGTCAGAAGTACAACCCGCAGCTTCATAGAATACAAAGGACCTTAGCCGGAAAGATTGTTTGTGATTTTTATTAACTCAGCACGACTCGAAATCTCATCCACCGCAAGGTCTATCAGTCAGTTCGACTAAGGCTGCTCACCATATCAGACAAGTGTACCGCTTTGGTGCAGAAAACCAGCAAATGAATGCCAACTCTGTTTTCGACAAACAGAATGACCGTACTTACCACAACCTTTCTAATAACACCAAAATACCTTCGTGTTTCTGTCCCCACCCCATCAAGTTGGGGCTACGGTCACAAGTTCGCCATAATATCGGCTTAAGAGACCTGGCTGCATAAATTCTGAACACGCGATCCTTTCCTAGTCCTATTGGATGGTTGCTTAACTTAACAAACTTTCCGTTCTCTCTCAAGTGGAAAGCACTTGATTATTCGGCGAATTACCTTTTTTGCGCCTTCACCGACGCATAATATCGAATTCGGATCGGCGTACAAACATCTTTAGTGACTCCGAATATAACAGGCACAGGTACCCTTTGGTGTATACCGAATGGACGCTACGTAAAAAGACGAAAACGCAAGAGACCTTTCTATGTACAATTCACATCCATCACATATGGATGGTCATGGTGTTTTATCATTGTTCTCGATTCACCGATTGCAGGGCACGTGGGCTTCGTCTGCGATCAAAACAACGTGAGCCTGTTGCTGGGCTTTTCTCACACATAGGCGAACTTCATCAAGTCCATCATTTGTGGGGTGAGTTATTAAACAGGTCACATGTCGATCCATTTCATTATTGAGCACAGCAATGAGTGGGATACAGTTGGGTGTTTTTGTATATCTAGCATATTCTCGTGGAACGAACTCGCGTTGTTTCTGGTCCAATGGGTGTAACCGGATGAGGTCCATCCCAGTATCCCTGAGGGCCTAGATTTTTCTTCTGCTGGACGTTTTGGATATCGACGCTTTTCCCCCATAGAGGATAAAATCAAGTCAACTAAGCGCTTTAGTGTTAGGCTGAATTCTGCACCGATACCGCTTTACTACTCATAGTTAGGTGCTGCTACGGCCGAGAAGCCTACCCCGCCCGCGATCGGGCCGCTTGCCGGTCCAACATCAAGACGAGCTCTGATGGGCCGAGAGTCTGGACCCAACAGTCAGTCATGATCCAATATCTGCCGAATGCCGGTTGCCAATGCCGCATCCAGAAGGCTTCAAATTTTATAGAATGTCGTCGCCGCACATTATATACGAGGCGCTGTACGTGTCTTTGACCTGATTTCGGGCGTTCATACATGTGCACTTTTGTTGTTGATCGTTTTTATGGGAACGCTAGCTTGGAAGTTTCAGGCCGAGAACTAAGCTGAGAAAATGCCGTTATTACAGTTAAACCCTCAGTTCCGGTAAGAACTGGTATTGATTATGACCTATTTTGTGGTCTGGTGGTGTTTTCCGTTGTACAAAGCATTAACGAAGGTGAAATTACTTCAGGTTCGGTGAACTGACTTGTTGAACTAAACCAAACGAAATAAACCTCTGGCAGACTATTCTGCGGTGCCTACGGAGACTGTCTTGTGTAGGTGTCGTATAGGCAGCACCACTTTTGACCACTACCGTTCTAACCTTAAGGAGGCTTGAATGAACGACAAGCTTGTTTGGAATGAACAGTGTGAAAATACAGTAGCCAGTTCCTGGGTTCGTTTCAATGTCTGGCGAAGCTTAATCTTACGAGCGCATCGGCTTGGCTACTCAACAATCAGCCTCTGGTGTTGTTTGTTCCTACCAGAAACAGTTTGGATCTGTACTTTCAAATTTCCCCCCGATTACTCCGTTGGTACTAGTTTACTGTTTCACTAGCGCAATAGGCACAACCTTTTACAGGCAAATTGGATAATACTATCTGTTCTCTAAATGTGGTAATTCTTGTGGTTAGACAAGGATTAGTTTATCAGCGAGAGACTCGCCAAAGGCTGAATGCTCCGGTATGAAATAAATGGACATGTCTTTTACAGAGAATGCTTTCGGAACTTACCAAAATCCTTCTTTAGAGTTAATATTCCATCCTGTTGGCCGTGAAGAAATCTAGTCGGTTAGCTACCACATCTTTTTGGTTCGTAGTTTGCCAAAAAAACGATGCATTGATGTTGAGCTTCTGCCAGATGCACAAGCCGGTATGGAAGCAATCAATGACTCAGGAATAGCCGGTTATGAGTTTACCTCTTAAATCGTTCGAGTCTCTAACTCAACCTTGGATACGTTCGAAATCTATTTTACAACAGATGGTTTTATATACTATACATATATATCCGTAATTGTGTGCTTCTTGCTCTGGTTGAAGTGCCCGGACCTCTGTCAAGATATATATCTTTCTAGAACTAGGTGGGACGTTGAAGGCATTTTCAATGGTTGTTTTATTTAATGAAGCTTTGCAGTTTCTGTAACTAAACAGCAAATTTGCTGTTATTTCTAGCCAGACCTATTGGTTCTACCCATGGATCAGGATATCAATTCCTGATAGTTTCTATTCTCGCAAAACAGTCTAGCTGGGCGCATTTTGGTCCGGCTGTTCTTTTCCGTAAAAAGTCGAAACTGGAGGTCTCACACTAGGATCTCTGCTCATAGGAGGTTCGCTGTACGATGGCTGCTGTTAGGTTTCGTCTCTATCGAGCTCGACATAGATCATTGGTTAAGGAGCGAACCTACCAACTGGAAAATCACTGGTTCGAACCGAACTCCGTCATCTCGACTGCCCATCTTCAGGCTTAGACAACCTGACAGTATCTCAATCCTCATACTTCTTTCGCGTGAAATAGCGTCTAGAATATGAAAGGGTTCACATCCGAACGATTCCCATTCGCCACTCTATCAACTCATCTCTTCATCAGGTAGCAGCAGTTCACTTTAGCCGTGTTACTGATCAATACCAGTGAATCTGTTGTGCTCTTAATCCCAGTCTGTTTTTCACCTTTTTAGCCTATAGCAGCTTGGAAGCGCGCCAGAAATCTCGTGATGATACTTGGCAAGACCCTGACTGGAGCAAATGCGTAATGCACACAGGTAGCCGATTCTGTGCGCGTACCTTCTGGCTTCTCCTTCAGTTTCAAATGTGCTATATACTGTTTTCCTACGTTTCCCCCCTTTGCTCTCTGTCGCTTGCTGCAGTACGGGTGGACGGTATTTTTTATATGCTTGTGTATATGATCACCGACATCTCCCAGACCTGACTTCTGGAATTTCATTTGCGTGCGAGCGTTTTTCGGAGTCTTGTCAATCTGATGAGACTTTACACCTCAACAGAAATACGTAATCCAGATATTGAGTTCTCTTAGATATCTCTAACTGGTATCCTATGAATACATCAAAGCCATGTCTTTGTGGTGATCGTTGGTGCGTGTCGTACAGTCGGTATGTGCAATAACTTCAGCATCTATCCCGACTCGAAACTCATAGTTAGGTGCTGCTACGGCCGAGAAGCCTACCCCGCCCGCGATCGGGCCGCTTGCCGGTCCAACATCAAGACGAGCTCTGATGGGCCGAGAGTCTGGACCCAACAGTCAGTCATGATCCAATATCTGCCGAATGCCGGTTGCCAATGCCGCATCCAGAAGGCTTCAAATTTTATAGAATGTCGTCGCCGCACATTATATACGAGGCGCTGTACGTCTTTGACCTGATTTCGGGCGTTCATACATGTGCACTTTTGTTGTTGATCGTTTTTATGGGAACGCTAGCTTGGAAGTTTCAGGCCGAGAACTAAGCTGAGAAAATGCCGTTATTACAGTTAAACCCTCAGTTCCGGTAAGAACTGGTATTGATTATGACCTATTTTGTGGTCTGGTGGTGTTTTCCGTTGTACAAAGCATTAACGAAGGTGAAATTACTTCAGGTTCGGTGAACTGACTTGTTGAACTAAACCAAACGAAATAAACCTCTGGCAGACTATTCTGCGGTGCCTACGGAGACTGTCTTGTGTAGGTGTCGTATAGGCAGCACCACTTTTGACCACTACCGTTCTAACCTTAAGGAGGCTTGAATGAACGACAAGCTTGTTTGGAATGAACAGTGTGAAAATACAGTAGCCAGTTCCTGGGTTCGTTTCAATGTCTGGCGAAGCTTAATCTTACGAGCGCATCGGCTTGGCTACTCAACAATCAGCCTCTGGTGTTGTTTGTTCCTACCAGAAACAGTTTGGATCTGTACTTTCAAATTTCCCCCCGATTACTCCGTTGGTACTAGTTTACTGTTTCACTAGCGCAATAGGCACAACCTTTTACAGGCAAATTGGATAATACTATCTGTTCTCTAAATGTGGTAATTCTTGTGGTTAGACAAGGATTAGTTTATCAGCGAGAGACTCGCCAAAGGCTGAATGCTCCGGTATGAAATAAATGGACATGTCTTTTACAGAGAATGCTTTCGGAACTTACCAAAATCCTTCTTTAGAGTTAATATTCCATCCTGTTGGCCGTGAAGAAATCTAGTCGGTTAGCTACCACATCTTTTTGGTTCGTAGTTTGCCAAAAAAACGATGCATTGATGTTGAGCTTCTGCCAGATGCACAAGCCGGTATGGAAGCAATCAATGACTCAGGAATAGCCGGTTATGAGTTTACCTCTTAAATCGTTCGAGTCTCTAACCCTTAACCTTGGATACGTTCGAAATCTATTTTACAACAGATGGTTATATATACTATACATATATATCCGTAATTGTGTGCTTCTTGCTCTGGTTGAAGTGCCCGGACCTCTGTCAAGATATATATCTTTCTAGAACTAGGTGGGACGTTGAAGGCATTTTCAATGGTTGTTTTATTTAATGAAGCTTTGCAGTTTCTGTAACTAAACAGCAAATTTGCTGTTATTTCTAGCCAGACCTATTGGTTCTACCCATGGATCAGGATATCAATTCCTGATAGTTTCTATTCTCGCAAAACAGTCTAGCTGGGCGCATTTTGGTCCGGCTGTTCTTTTCCGTAAAAAGTCGAAACTGGAGGTCTCACACTAGGATCTCTGCTCATAGGAGGTTCGCTGTACGATGGCTGCTGTTAGGTTTCGTCTCTATCGAGCTCGACATAGATCATTGGTTAAGGAGCGAACCTACCAACTGGAAAATCACTGGTTCGAACCGAACTCCGTCATCTCGACTGCCCATCTTCAGGCTTAGACAACCTGACAGTATCTCAATCCTCATACTTCTTTCGCGTGAAATAGCGTCTAGAATATGAAAGGGTTCACATCCGAACGATTCCCATTCGCCACTCTATCAACTCATCTCTTCATCAGGTAGCAGCAGTTCACTTTAGCCGTGTTACTGATCAATACCAGTGAATCTGTTGTGCTCTTAATCCCAGTCTGTTTTTCACCTTTTTAGCCTATAGCAGCTTGGAAGCGCGCCAGAAATCTCGTGATGATACTTGGCAAGACCCTGACTGGAGCAAATGCGTAATGCACACAGGTAGCCGATTCTGTGCGCGTACCTTCTGGCTTCTCCTTCAGTTTCAAATGTGCTATATACTGTTTTCCTACGTTTCCCCCCTTTGCTCTCTGTCGCTTGCTGCAGTACGGGTGGACGGTATTTTTTATATGCTTGTGTATATGATCACCGACATCTCCCAGACCTGACTTCTGGAATTTCATTTGCGTGCGAGCGTTTTTCGGAGTCTTGTCAATCTGATGAGACTTTACACCTCAACAGAAATACGTAATCCAGATATTGAGTTCTCTTAGATATCTCTAACTGGTATCCTATGAATACATCAAAGCCATGTCTTTGTGGTGATCGTTGGTGCGTGTCGTACAGTCGGTATGTGCAATAACTTCAGCATCTATCCCGACTCGAATGAGAAACAAAACGGACAACTGCGTGAGGGACTTGTACCATACTTTAGTGACAACTGCCATCATCACAAACACAGTTCTTCATCGCTTCACCCTCTTTTTGAACTAAATTATATTTAGTCCCTATTTGACGAACCTCTTGATCCAATCAACCGAAGCAAAATTCAGAGGAATCAACTGATCAACTGGTAAATAAATGTCAGTGTCCAGCCATAGTGTTCCTTGTTGAAAGAGTGATGTCGCTATTTCAAGATTTGTCGTGGGTCTAGTGGTCGCAACTGCTTTTACTTGATGCTAGAAGCAGTGTATTTCTGAGGCCAGATATTTCCACTGACATTTTTCCACATTCAATGCCGTTATCCACTTGGCGTATTGAATTAGGTTACCCAACCACTGAACTGCAAACTCATTTATACTCTAGAACCCTCGCAGGCGTCAGTTTTGACCTTAATGATACCACAATAGCTATTTTCAGTGCGACAACCAATATCACCCATCTGGTCGTTTGGAAAAGCATTTTCGTTAACTCTCAATTAGGAACTGGAATTTCTGGGTTATTCATATCCAACGTGTCCTTGTAACTGTATTTGCTGAAACTCCAGCGACTCACAAACAGTTTTATGAGACGAACCCGGTGACTTGTACTTTACTCTGTTCTATTAGTGCTTTCACTTCATTGTTAGTCTCTTAATTCACCAAGCGCAGCTGACCATGAAACAATCGATTACGTTCCTTCCACCATCGCACGATATCGCAATGGTAACCTTCACGTCACACAAATGCGAAGTATGCAATCATATAAGGGAGCTCTCCCTCCCTCCC